CATTGCTGGTCAGCTACCTATATCGGATAATATCGTCGGTAGGATAGATGCATCACAGTTTGTCGGCATGTTGGTTACGGGTCGGTAGGACGGGTCAGATTCAATGAATTTTGTTGATCATAGGCAAGGTTTGGTCGTCGACCCTTGATCTCCAACAAGGAGCTTCTGTGGACATGATGAAGTTACGACATCAGGCAGATGAAAATCATTGTAATCCGACGGCTAGACTTCCCTAAGATGATAGGATTCTGTTGTGATGGTTGAAACTTGTTATATTCTCTTGATGTAATTGGGGAAGACGGATGTGTGATCCTGATCTGACAGTCGTGGGGAATTGCTTCTCCCTCAAATTTAATTCATTGTCATGGCAGGTTTGGAAGACTATTGGCTTGTCATAATAATGAGTTGCTCAGGCTGGCAACACTTCGACTACCCTTGCGATTTAGGCAGTCTTAATTTTTCTATTTCCAGTTAGATATATTGTTTGTCAATTCGTCTTTTGGTAGCCACCTTGGTAATAGAGCATTTTCTCTTAGAACGTTATATCTCCTTGAGATTCATGTTAGCATATATATGATGCATCATCAAAAAGTTTTTATTATTTTACATGAAACTTAGGGAATTTTCAACAAAAAAAATATTTCATATTCAAATTCAAAGTCATCCAAGTCTTTGATTTCAACAAAATTATAGTCAAACTAGCTGTCTTAACAAGAAGAACCCAATAGTAACAAAATTGGTCCAAATCAAGTCCAGATAAAACTAATAAGCACATTTGGAGGCTTCAGATCATTCATTGGAACGGTCAAGTGAACTCCCAAAATTGACATGCCTCTTGTCAAATAAAACATTTTGACGAGCGGAATCCAGCGCGCTTATGATCACTTATTTTGAGGTCATTAAGTCCCTCAAATTATAAAAATATCTTTTATGATCAAGAGGAATCAATGTAGATTGTTCGATAGAGAGGTTACTGGAGTTATTTTCCAAATGAGCAACATGCCACTCTCTCGGAGCTTATAAATAGACCCCTCCGATCACTTGAGAGGGCGGAGAATTCAAGCGTTGTTTGAGACTGAATACCATATGATAACTTTCGTAGCTGTGGACCACCATTAACCACCTCACATTGCCTGTCATTGCAACCCTTGTTCGTCTTCATTAGTGAACCATAGGATGTAACAAAGCACTTCAAATATGGTGTAGCAAAGTTCTTTGGGCTCAATATAACGAAGTACCCCAAATATGGTCTAGTGATGTGCCCCAAATATGGTGTTATGAAGTTCTTCAGACACAGTGTAATGAAGTATCTCGAATACATTACAACTAAGTAACTCAAACATGGCGAAATGAAGTATCTCGAATATAGTGTAGTGAAGTGTCCTAAATACTAGGTAACAACATATCTTGAATGTGATGCAATGAATAACTCAGTATTAAATATCCGACAATATATCCTGAAAATAACTGCTTTCAACATTCAGATTTCTACCACTTTCACTGAACTCCTAATTTTTTATCCTTAAGTCCTACTCCTAAACCAACAAATGATGCTTATGGTGAGAAATGATAAGCCCAAGAAAACCTGTTTCAACCGCCAACAGGTGTTGTCCAACAAATGGGGCAAACTAATGCGATTGCAGCTCTCCATTACAACCTAGGTGACCAACAATGACTTATGTGACTCACTTCTATTGCAGCTTATAACTACTACTTTATAACCAACTAATAATATTAAAGCTTCCCACTATAGCCTTTGTGACTAACTTCTACCTATGTCGTTCATTGTTACTGTAGCTTCCAACAATGACATTTATGGTCAATGACACTAATGAAGCTCCTCACTAGGACATGTGTGACTCATTATTGCTATAACTTCCAACAATGACCTCTATGACCAACTAACGCTATTGAAGCTCCTCACTACCGCCTCTGTGATCAACTATGACTTATGTGGCTCATTGTTACAGTAGCTTCCAAAGATGACCTTTGTGGCCAACTACACCCTCCAAGACCAATTGACGCTATTACATCTTTTCATTACTTTATGCGACTCATTGACATTATAGATTTCAACTATGAACTTTGTGGCCCATTGATGCTACCGAAACTCTCCACTGTGACCTATATGACCAACTACGACCTCTCTGTTAAATTACTACTATGGTTTTTAACTAAAACCTCTATAGCCAATAAACACTCATGAAGCTACCAACTATAGCCTATATGACTAATACTATTAAACCTTTTGACTACGACCTTTACTACAAACTAACACTATTATAGTCACTGACAAAAATATTTGTGACAAATCACTCCTTTTGTAGCAATTAACTACATCGTTTGCAGCCTAACTATCATCATCACCACCAAGAAATACTGTTGTTGTAGCCTGATTATGACTATGAAAGCTAAATTACTATTCTATATTTGTAATCATCAACTTCATAATTCTAACTTCCCTAAATCAATAGAAGAGTAAACATATGTACAATCACATAGTTGATTACTTTGTCTGGGCTCGACCCCGTGAATTTTTTCCTTTCCAGGGTTTTCCCTCATAAAACATTTTGGTGGCACTTTTTACTACATTTCAATTATATGTGCGTGTGTGTTGAATTTTTGTACAACGTTGAGATGTTATATTATCACACTACTGCAATGAAATTTCCAACACACAAAATAATGTATTGCTTATGATATGACTTAGATGTCCTTACCACAAATATATAAATAAGCTTTTTTTAGTACAAACACGAATGATTTTGAATAGAGAGATCTACATGTGGTTAATCACCGTCCATCTTCTACCATCATTTAACACTATCAAATGTCATTATCATGAAATATCGACTAATATCAATGTCCGCTTGAATTTTTGCTTGCAATTGAGCACCACTTGAGAACTTTTTACTAATTAAAGACTTATTTTCACTCTTCTTAGTACAATATTTATAAAAGTAAAATTTTAGCAAAGTGCCTTTAAACACAACTATATAAAATTACAAGTCTAATCTCAAAGTAATGATCACATGGACAAACCTCTTAAAAGCTAAAAATTTATTGTGTTGTTTAGTGCTCTTTACGTTGAAACCTCTTTAGTCAGCATGATTATAAAAAGGCCAATAAAAAATTAAAGAAAACATAAAAGGATAACTCACACAAAAAATATTTAAGTGGGGAGTCATCGAGTATTGTCGTTCCATGTAAACGACAATACTTCAAAGCATCATTATTATTTATAACAGTGGAACCCAAATGTCACCAATGGTAATTTTCAAAGTTCATGTAATGTTGTAGTTAATCTCTTTTTTAAACCGCCTTAGGGTCAACTTGATTTTGTTCAAATTATCATGTTTGTTTAGATTCACATGATATTTCAACGTAATTTCTCTAACTCGTTGATTTAATTTACCATGGTTGCCAACATAGGGATCCTTCAATCATTTTGCAAGTTACTGGTTCATTCAACAAACATGACTTTTTGGCACACATCTATCCCATTATGTCATTTGCTAACCTATCAACCTCATTTAACTTATTGAATAGCCCATTGGACTTGTCATTTCATCCACCAACCCATCAAGTTTGTTTGCATTACCATATGACATAGTCATCCTATTTTACGCACATCTATCTTTAGATGGCTAATGCTAACCAAATTTGAAATATAACATGTAATTATAAATCTTTAGCGATTTTGGAAAACTTTCAATCGAACCTTTCAAAAATAAAAAATAAAAAAACTGCCTTCAAACGCATTCTGTAAATATTTGAAATGGGTGGCATATGTAAGAATACAACTAGGGAAACACATCAATATTTAAAGACTTTAAGGAGGCTCATATTTATGCTAAAAAATAATCACACAATAACATTTTTTGGAGTTATAATTGTGTTTATGGGTCAATTGTTATAGCCTAAGAGTAGGGGCACATAGTCACTTTTTTTTTAAAATAAAGTTGTTCTTATGTGATTATATTTTTGATAAAAATGTAGAATATCTTACTATAAATCAAGATAATAGTGAAAATACTCCCAACAAATCTTATAAAGAACTCACTTTATTGCTCATTTTAGACAATTTGAATTTCTAAAATTGTAAAAACTTTAGAGCTCTTACAATTTTAAAAAATCCAAACAACTCTCAATGTGTTCTATGAATTTTCTTAGAATTTTTAAATTCAATCACTCAGTTGCCTATCAAGCGATTAGTTTCCCCTTATTTTGGGTAGATTGCCTAAACCTTATTTTTTTAACAACAAATTGTACGTCTAATTCTTCATTAAAACAAAGAACTATATAGACCACCCTTTCATCCTTATATTTTTATTAATAGTTATCCAATTTAAATTACAACTAATCCAATACATATTATCTCCATCACTATCAATACCTCACTATTCCTCTCTCTTCCATATATGGAGGACTTTCTTTATTGGCCAAGTCTTTACACAAGTCTTTACACTATATTGATATTTGGATAAGAACAACAAATCATAATTCAAGACCAAACTAATGATTTTTAATTTTTAATTTTTTAATTTTTTAATTTTTTTAAGGATTATTTTTTTTTCTATTTAGGTCATGTCCCATTAATTTTTTTATTAACATATTTTTTATCCACAACAAATACATTAAATATCTCATACACATTAATCTAACATGCAACAAAATTACACGTCTTTCACCTAACATTACTATGGTTGTTGGCATCAACATAATCTTTAATTCTCAAATGCTATAAATTATTGTTCTAATTTACATTTTTGTAAATTTTTATACTTTTATCATAAATATATTAAACTTGAGATGGCTTATGATTATTTAAAATTATTAAGAAAATACCCCCAACATGGAAAATGGAAAAGAAGCTCACCGGCTACTACCGGTGGACCACACGGAGCTAACTATTTAATTACCCTAACCCTACATCCCTCTCAATTAAATATTATTATTAATTATTATATATCTAATTATTTTGGGGGCGAGCACTCATCTCTGCTTTCGCTCATCCCTTCAGCTCCCTTTTCCCTTCGGCAGCTCCTACTTTCGATTCCGACACGGTCCCTCGCCGCCGGCGAATTTCACCTTGACGGTGATACGCAAATTTACTGTGACCTCCACTTATTACCTGCAAACTTCTTTGATTCCCCTTTTTTTTTGTTGTTACTCGTTTCCTTCTTTGAAGCTGTGGATTCTTCGTTATCTGCTGCTTTCTTCTTCGTCCGCGATAACTGATCGGAGAGGATTTTAATATATTCCTTCCTCTTTTAGCTGACTGATGTAGAAGAGAAGTAAATAGAGGTAATAACGGAGAAGAGGAAGGTCGAGAGGGGAGGGAGGAGGCATATCACATCTATGCAATAAATGCATGGAGATGTAAAGGCCAATGTTCCGTAAGAACGATTCGGCTTTGTCTTGCTTCTATCTTTACCTCCTGTGGCTGTACTTCCGGAAATAGCAGAGGAAACCCTATCAGGCAACGTTGAGGGAGGTTTTATTAAGCTCAGTTGGATTTCATAAAAGTTGCGGAAGCGGTAGTTTAAGTTTCAAAGATGGTGCTAGATCTTAACGTGGCATCTGGTTCTGAATCGTCGTCGGTGCCCGAGAAGCTCCTTTCAGAAGGATCTGGAGGAGTTCAAATGACTGATTCAGGGACATCTAACTCCTCTGTTCTCAATGCTGAGGATTTAAGTAACATCGGTGACGAGGATTCTTGCTCTACTCGCCCGGCTTTCAGGTTCAGTATCTTGAAGGACGCAGAGGAGGTAGAGGAGTGCGGCGATGATATCCGCGTTGCTTCGGATGCTGATCTGATCACTCATCAGCTGTTTCCGCAGCAGGCGCAGGTTATTTTAGATGGTCTGGCGACGGGAACCACGTTGGCGTCATCGTCGTCTAGGCCGCATTTGATAGACCTCGGCTTCTACCAGGCTGATGTGATGGCAACTGCGGAAGGTAAGCTTCTTCACCCCCTACAACAGCAGCCTCAGGTGAAGAAGAGCAGGAGGGGACCAAGATCACGAAGCTCTCAGTATCGCGGAGTGACGTTCTACAGGAGAACCGGAAGATGGGAATCTCACATCTGGTATGTATTAGCTTACCCTCCATTCATTCTTGTTTTATTATGGAAGTTCTTACACGGAGCTCCTTTTTTTAATTTTTTTCTCAGGGATTGTGGGAAGCAAGTCTATTTAGGTACGATTTATTATTTACTTTGTTTTCTTGAATTGAATTTTGGATAACTATAAGCTCGCTTATTTTACCGTGGCATCATATATCCTCTTTAATGTTTTCTTGAATTGAATTTTGGATAACTATAAGCTCGCTTATTTTACCGTGGCATCATATATCCTCTTTAAGCTCACCTCTCTCTCTCTCTCTCTCTCTCTCTCTCTCTCTCTCTCTCTCTCTCTCTCTCTCTCTCTCTCTCTCTCTCTCTCTCTCTATCTCTTTCTCTCTCTTTTTTTCTTTCGTTTTTTTGATGTTTTAATTGGTATTGCAGGTGGTTTTGACACTGCTCATGCCGCGGCCAGGTAAATTTCCTTTTAATGTTTCTATGGCTTGTTTCATAGAAATGAAACCTAATTTTGTGTGTGCGTCTGTTTTGTTATTGCAGAGCATATGATCGGGCTGCCATTAAATTTCGTGGAGTTGATGCTGACATCAATTTCAATCTCAGCGACTATGATGATGATTTGAGGCAGGCAAGTGTTAGACGCTTGTCCAATTAGATTGTTATCTTACTTATGGCAGGATTAAACTAATATTTACCTTAATGATTGCTAACAGTATTTTCTAGATTTTAAATTATTGATTAAATTAAGGATTTGTTAAATTCCACCAATCACAGGAGTCTTTCATAAATTTTAAATCTTGAAACAAGTAGTTAGACAATTTATCTGGATTCAACAAGATTTAGGGGTTATTTTTTGCTGAAAACAGTTTTCAGGTTTTAATCTCCTCAAGATTTGCTAGATCCTGATTTATAGGATATTGTAAATTTAGATTTACTGGATTTACTAAATCCCAATTGTATTCTGACAGCCCTTTAGATTGTATACTAATTATTATCTCTGTTTAAAATTTCTCAGATGAGAAATCTGACCAAGGAGGAATTTGTGCATATACTTCGTCGCCAAAGTACTGGATTCTCAAGAGGAAGCTCAAAATATAGAGGAGTGACTCTTCACAAATGTGGTCGATGGGAAGCTCGCATGGGACAGTTACTTGGCAAGAAGTATGGGACTTCACTTCTCCTTAATATTTTGGGAAATTTACATATTTTGCACAAAATTCTTATGTATTTTCATATCTCACACCTAAGCCTTCATATTTACATACATAGCACTTCGCTGCGTTAAAACTATGCATGAAAAAGTTGTATTTCACTTTTAAAATGTTGTAATAGTGTTATTTTTTATGTGATTTTATTAAAGTTTTGAGTACTATGTGTGAGCATGAAAGTTTAGGTGTGAGATGTGGAAATACATAAGAATTGTAAATGCTCCTTAAAATTTCTTGACCCTTCTATTTTAATTTATAGACCTTGGCTTTTTACCTTCTTTACTTGGCATAATCGCCTTAATTTTACCTGTTGAATTGTTGAATTCATATATAAATCATGGAATGTTGAATTATCAATTCTGACCAAATACTTTTCAGCGTTCTCTATATTAAATCTCAGGATTGTTTTGAGAAAGGAAAAGTTTTAAGCATACCTTTTCTTCACTGTTTGCATGCAGGTATATATATCTTGGGTTATATGACAGCGAAGTAGATGCTGCAAGGTAATATTGAGTTTCAAATTTTATCAATCACTGGCATTCTCAGGGGCTGTCTGGTAACGACTTCAGTAAATTCTGTAAATCTGGATTTATTAAATCCTGAGAACATCAAGATTTAGTAAATCTGGGATTCATGACAAAACTGAAAAGAATTGAGATGAAACTTGATTTACTAAATCTGGGACTCAAAATTTGCTCTTGATTTAATTTAAATCCCACTTAAATCCATCACCAAACAGCCCCTTAATATAATTTTTAGCTTCTGCCAGGATGCTCGGATAAAATTGTTCACCTAGTTACTGTTTTTGACTTCAGGGCCTATGATAAAGCGGCCATTAAATGCAATGGAAGGGAAGCTGTCACCAATTTTGAGCCAAGTACTTATGAAGGAGAACTTTTTTCCAAGGACGATGTTGAAGGTATTAACATGGTTTGGTTTTTTATTTCCTTGTTGACTTGAGAATTGGTATTTCCTTGTTAGAAAGTTTACAGGTTGCCACTTAATGCCTATTTATTTACATATCGAACACCCCACCCCAACTTCAATTTTTACATACATGCCCACCTTACCTATGAATGAAAAGCTTGTATTTCACTTTTGAAAGCTAAAATGGTGGTTTTTTTTTATGTAATATGAAGTATTTGGGCGGTATAAATGTGAAAAGTTAAAATTTAGGTGTTAGATATGTAAATATATGGGCATTGGATGGTATGTATGTAAGTGCCCCTTGTTTCTACATATTGTTGGCTGATCCATTTTTCTTGATTTGACTATTTCAAACAGCTTTCGGCAACGACATTGATTTGAACTTAAGTATTTCTCAGCCTTCTGTCTGCAATTTGAAAAGAAATGTTAATCAGGCTGGCTTACAATTCCAAAATGGCCCTTTGGAAGCTTCAGATGTCAAGAAGATGAAGGTAATTTTATTTGTTTCAGTCTCGTTTATGCTGTTTAGTTTAATTAACACAAAGTTAATCAGAAGTTTCTTTTGCTATCTAGTAAAACTCTAGCTCTCTAACTGTCTTTTAAGGGCACTGAATACTTTGATCAATAAATTCAGTACCACTTTTCTTTATTCTTGTTGTCCCCTCTTTGCCTCATGTTAAGATTGTTATTCTTCGGGAAATTTATATACAGACTGCACAATTTTTCTGTATTTACTGATCTAAAAGCCATAGTTTGATATTAAAACTTAGAACACCTTGGTCTTATAAACATATACCTGTAAAGGTGTTTTTAACTTCTGAAAGATAATGATGGTGATATTTTTAATGTAATATTATATATTTTAGTGGTATGCTTGCAAATATGAATATTTAAGTGTTAGATATGTAAATAAATAAGAATTTTTTGGTTGATATGTAAATGTCCCTTATTATTACTAGTATTATTATTTGAATAGAATGCTGCTTAGCTTAACTAGTTACCCTCGACATCAAGATAACAGTGCTTGCGTGATTTTGTTCTCCTACAGATTGACCAGCCTTCTTCCAATTCAGTACTTCAAACTCAGCACCTGGCTATTGCACCTGAGCATCCTCGAGCCTGGAGCACTGTATACCCAGGATTCATCCCTATCAGTGAGGTAATTATACTCCTATTGTACTGGCTTTATTTACGAATTACTGTCATGATTTTCCCCCCAGTTGTTTCTGTTATTCTATTAATTACAATCTGAAAACATAAATTTCTTAGAATTCCTAGGTTTTTGCGGTAGAGCAAACTATATTAAAGCCTATCTGCCAAACCTAAGACCTTTAATTCTTGTCTGCTGATCTTTTCCTCTTGTTCATACTTTTAATAGCCGAGTCATATGAGTGAAAAATAGTCTTACATCGAAGTTAAAATGTAGACTTAAAGAGTTTGTAATATATTATTCATTTTTCTTGTTCTTTTACTTCACTTTTGGTATATATATATATGTAGGCCCTCTTTAAATATCTTAAATGTGTGAGTTATGATGGTGTCCACTTATTAATATATAAAATTTGGGCCACTATGCTCCACTCTTCAAATATTGATTATTGGCATCCGGATTGCCAACTTTATGGGCCTCTTTAACAGCAATGCATTTTCTATGCTTATCTGAAATCAATCAATTTGAGTGAGTGAAAGTAACAGTGAACATATATTATTATCTGAACAGCAGAAAAAACTTTAAAAGGGAAAGGAAGAGCATATAATAATTTTAATTGGAGCCCTTCGCTGCAGACAATGATTATCCATCTGGTCATCTTTTTCTATATGTCTCCCCATTCAAAAGAAACCTAACGCCATAATAAACAAGAAAAAATGATAATTTGGCATCTTTAAGCTTTACCTTAAACTCCAAAGTTGATTAGGGAGGAAGAGAAGGGCAATAGCCCATTAAGGGTGAGTATTTATACAGTCTAATTATATACAATAGCTCATTATCATCTAATAACAATCTAATTGGCACTAATTACCAACGAACTATCAAGCTCACAATAATCCATCAGATCAATCCTCATTACTGTAACATATATATGTAAATGTCAAATTGATCACTATTCTTTGCAGAATGCTTTTTAATCCCATAGTTTATATAAGTGTCAATTTAATCCCCACATTTTCTTGATATAGGTTGAAATATTGCCAACTTAAAAGAGTCAAGGAGCAAATGTAGCATTTTTACAAATTTTGGGATTAAAATGGCCTCATATAACTATTTTAACATTTTATGTATTTTTTGTCCTAGTAAAGTGCCCTCTTAATTAATCTCCTCACTAATTCTACGGGGTCAGATCAGTCCCAATGTCTATAAAAGTATCAAATTAGTCCACGTAATTTTTTAATATGAGCTGAAATAGTCCCTATGAAGGACTATTTTATCTCAATTAAAAGAGTTCGGGTATAAAATTAGCATTTTTAATTCTTGAAAACTAAAATAGCTCCCTACAAATAATCCCTGGACTATTTTGACATTTTTATCATATTTTTTCCTTGCAAGTAAATTCTTCTGTATAATTCTAACAGGAAAATGTATTGAACAAGAAGACTGAGTCAGGCTCAACCAGCTGGCAATGGAAATACCATAGCATCTCCCATCTTCCCCTATTCTCTTCTGCAGCATCATCAGGATTCTCTGCCTCAAATGCGATAACTAATCCTTCGATCCAACCGTCACAATCGCCGCGGACCACTCATCTCTATCATCCTCACCTCCATCCTCCGCCGCCAGCCATGACTTCTTCTAAGGCTGACTTTCACGGCAAAACACAGGTACTATTGAACTAGCACATATCCACTGTGTTAATTCACCTTAAATGTCACCTGAATCTTAATATCAATGAAAGCCAGCGCTTTTAAATTGTAGTGTCTTTTCTTTCTCTCTTTTTTTTTTTTTTTTTTTTTTTTTTTTTTTTGGCATAATAAGTTGGTGCTTGTTTTGGGTGTTGTATTTAATTTACCAGTATAAATATAGGCGCATGTATCTGAGATTTTTTTGCAAGATATTGTTTATTATTATATGGTGTATTTACAAAGGCCATGCATTTCATTATTCTCCAAAAATATTGGTTTATCAGAGATATGCGGGATGGCATATATATTGAGAAGAGTGGGGAAATTGGGAGAATAAATGAAAATGTTTGCTTTTTTTTTCAATCAGTATATCACTGTAAATATTGAAATTTACCATCTGATTCTATCTGACTCTTCAATGTATTGCATCTGGATCTATTTGGCTTTAAATGTTAAATTTGTCATCTCTTTTGACGCAAAATGGTAAAAGTTCTTAAGAGTATGTTTTAAATTCTTTAATGTTAATCTTAAATGTTCAAAATAATCTTATGAAAAGTTTCTTTTGATATTTTTCCAAAGAAGTCGCAGAGTAGCATCAAAATTGATTTCATATTTGATTAGAATGAATAAAATTTAGAGGGCATTTATATAGATGCATCCGAAGTATTTCTTTTTATAAATTAATCATCCTTTTTCATTTTTTTTTTTTTTTCAAATTGTCACTCAAATATCAAAATTTCACATAAAAAGAAACAAGGTATCATTAATGCTTATTAAAATAATTATATTACATAATTATTGAAATAATCGAGGAATTACCAATTATACAATATAATTTTTTTTAAAAATAAAATTTTAATAAAACCGTGATTCAAACTGCGTCTGACTGTTGTCCAGCAAATAGATAACAAGCACTAGGATGGGAAACGGAGCTTAAAGACAGGCCCCCACCTTTTGTGTGCTGGGTGACTCTCTCTCTCTATCTTTCTCTCTAGGTTTGTTTGTCTATTTATGCATATTATTGTACTATCGTGAAAAAAGAAAGCAGGTAGAAAAGACTATTTCTGTAATATTTTAATTTGTGTCAGCTCTGATAACTTTTTTTTTTGTGTTTTACCATAATACCATCGCTGTCTTCTTTACTGTTGAAACTGATGCCCCCTGCTTTATTAGGAAATTTTGGAATTTTCAATCCTAAGTTTCCGATTTGATTCTCGGGTGAAAATGGCAAACTGTCACTGTGGGCCAGGGAAGGGCTATTTTGTAATTTTTATTTTTTTTTTAATTGCAAAAAGCGTAATTTTGTGTGATTCTTTTCGATTTTCCGTTCTGCTAGTGTCGGCTGAGTCTTGAAGCAGCAGTAATGGACCAAGAATTTGCTTTAAATGATGCTGGCGTTGAAATGGCGCAATCTGGACCGTTCATGCCATCGAACATTTAACAGCCGTTAAGATTGACGTGACCCTCGGAACAGCTGTCCTTACCCTAAACCTCTTACGTGACGTAACGCCAAAGTCATTTATCACGAATAATATTTCTTTAGCTGCAGTTAGGTCGGATGGCATGCTAAAAATATTATATAACACTTTTATAGCATTTGTCTGATTTTAATTTTAAAGAAAAAAATGGAAAATTTACATAATGTCATATGCAGAACGTAAAGTTTGATATTTATTATTATAGCATTTTGGTGTCATAAAATTATGTATGGCAATGTTCATTTCTTATTCAACAAGTTAATAAGTGATTGTTTTGATGTAATATTTAAAATTTAGAGTGTGTGCATGTAAGTCAAAGAAAATTTGTGCGGTATGTATGTAAATGGCCCGATAAAATTTTGTTTGATTAGAATCATTCATTTGAAAATTATTATGGGGGGATTTACTTAGGGTCTGTTTAGGGCAGTTGTAGTTTATTGAATTATCTGCCAATAAGTTGATTAAAAATAATCTACTGATGAGCTAGGTACGGTGGTTATTTCAAATATTTATTTTTTTAGAAAAGTCATACCGCTACCAGAAAGCTTCCACCGCATCTAGATAGTTGCGACGTGAAAACGCTGTTTTCAATGTTTTGAAAACGCAAAAGCTGTCAAAACGCAGTTTACCCAAACAGGTCAGTTATGTTTTCAAAACGCCACCGCACTAAATAAGCTGCCCAACGAGCCCTTAATTTCAATTGTTTATAGAGGAAGTGATATCATATTCATTTATTTGTATGCTTACCACAGATTGGTAAGTTGTAAGTGATAACTACGTATGGAGCACTCAAAACATTGATATTTACAAATTACAAGCTCAGGTGATTCTTTTGAAACCGAAAGATGTATTCACGCATGTCATGATCAAAATATTGAGAATTTGATAAAAAATGAACATTATGGGTAGAGATTTTATCATGATTTTTTATATTTCAGTGAAAATTTGAAAAGTGGATGAAAGGCGTGGTTAATTTGTAAACAACAAATTTTGGGTGGTGTTTATGTAATTGCCTTAGAGGTCATAAATGTTGTGAATTAGTTTGTAAAACGATATTTTACATCCCATTGACCAAACAAAGTGTACAATAGAGGGTTTAATTAATGCGATGTGTGGCTGTGATCGGAGAGCGTACGCAATAATCGCTCGTAATAGAGGACAAGATAGCTTTTAAATATGTGCATCTTTGATAGTATGTTTTAAAAAAAAATTTGGTATTTACTTACGTCACACAATTCTTTTATATGTCTAGCACCTAAACATTTATATTTATTTATACATAGCTCAAAATTCTAACACCACGTCAACAATATCACTATTATTAATTTTTTAAAAGTAAAAAAAATGTTGTGCGCTATTAAATTTTAGCTTTTTTGGTCATTTACAAGCACACAACACAATTCTTAGGAATTTACATAGCTAATATTTAAATTTTTATTACTCCGTCAATAACATTAAATTTTTCATATGAAATAAATAAAATCACTATCACTTATTTTTAAAGATTGAAATATACTTTTTTCGTAGGTATGGATGTAAAAGTCGTAGTTTAGGTGTTCAGTATGTAAATACATAGAAATTGTGTGGCATGCATGTAAATCTTCCATTATATTTTTTATTAAACATCTCCCAATGCAAATAAGTATTTGTGTTGGTCTTTGTAGTTAGCATTATTTTAAGCGGGTGCCCTTTTATAGCTATTAAACTATAGCCCTTCACAAACTCATAATTCATACTTGACTTTCCACTTGAGATCCATGAGAAAGACCCAATCAATTTTTGAAGAATGATAATAAGAGAACATTATGTTGAAGTTATTGTATGTGGGGATAAAGGAAGTAAAAAAACACATTAAGAAAAGGTACATATCATTAGATGTTCGATCGTAAGGCTTCAATGTATCCACTATTAAGACAAGCAAAAGCTAACATTCATTATATTAACAATTAAAGTACACTAAAGAGATTTTATAATGCTAGCAGAGTGTGTTGAGAGAGGTCAAGAAGAGGAGAAATTTATAACAATGAGAAGAAATGTATCTTTTATATCATTACATTATGATGGAGACAACAGAAGGAGCACATCTAAGTCTCAATAGAATAGCCAATATTCAATTCACAATAGTATATGTTGTTGATAATGCAGAGAGATTGTTCAGATGAAAAATGCTAGTCCATGAAGAAAGGGTGAACAAAGTTTAATTCAAATGTAAGAATTTGAGAGTAACGCAAGTAAAAGAGATTTATAATGCATTGTTCCATATTGGAGGTCGATAATCTTCCAAATTGGATTTTAAAATATTCCTATGCCAAATTTTAGATTTATGGCCACCACCTCAAACTCATGGCAATAATCAATATGATATGAATTTCTAAGAGATTGTGCCATCAAATTTTCAGCTATATCAATAATGTGCTTTTGTTGGAAGGTGAATACCACAACCTTTAAGTGAGCCCCATTTATTAAATATTACATACATCAAGAAGGTTTTGGGTTATAGAAGTGGGGATTATACCTTCATTATGTGGTGGTAGATCTTACACAAATTAAGACAGCCAAGTGTGCTTAGGCTTATGATTGAATTCTTTTCTTCTTCTTCTAAGTATATATCTATTATTAATTATGGTTCATTGGGCTAGGTATTGTCAGGGGAGGTCAAATCTAGCTAAAGAGGAGTGGTTTTATTTTTAGGGCTAATCATAGCTGAGCATTGATTTGTTAGTAGTTTAGAAAAATAAATTTTGAAAACTTAAGCCATATAATTTGTTTTATCTTTGAGTTGGACAATTTTCTAAGAATGATATATTTTAAGGCTCTAGGATCAAAAGCATAGTGTTTTAATGGGTATATTGGATGAGGGCATAGCCAATGCTCTAAATGGTATTTAGTGGAAGATTTGATTGTTTATGTAGTTCAACTATTCTCTGAAGGTTTCAATGGTTATCTTTTCTATAACATTCTTTTGAGTACAATCTATTAAAGAGGTGATAATTAATGACTTCCTCTAATCAATTTCTGAAACATCATTTCCAAAAGAGGGGTCTTGTTGGTCCCAAGAAGATGACAATGTATTTCTTTTGCTGCAACATGTATTTGTGAAATCTAAGTTCAATAGAAGATAATATTTTTTGGAGAATTTACAAGCATGCACTCAATTCTTATTTATTTATGTATCTAACACCTAAACTTTACTTTTTTATATGTATACCACACAAATCTTTTATATCAGCTAAAAAAATATCATTCTTTTTTCTTTTTATGGTAAAAATATCAACACGAATATTCAAGGGATCAAGCGGCTAAGATGGAGCCTCAAACGATCAAAGTATTAAGCCAAAAGGCATGATCCAAATTGGTCGAGCAGTAGATCGAATGCACATCAGGATCAACTGACAGACTTAGTCGATAGATCTGTCGACTAATTAACCTCTCACTAAAATTGAACAAACACGTATAATCGATCGAACGATTCCCTAGATGAGAATGATTCTGCACGATATCGACTGACATAATCGTTGACCCGAAAGCATTATGTTTTACTTGTATTATAAATGTATTTTTTACTTGATAGATACGTCGATTTAGTTTTTGGGCAGTCACTATAACTGCTCCCTCTCTTTTTTAAATGTAATTTTTAAACCCCTACAAGTAGGAGGTCAAAACATGAATAAAATGAGGACTTTCGACTCTCTCTCTCTCTCTCTCTCTCTCTCTCTCTCTCTCTAATTTCACTCCTCTCAACTCAGCGTGTACTTTGAAAAACAATTTAAGATTCAACAACTTTAATTATTTAAAAAAAGAAATGCGCGTTTTCATGCATAGTTACTATGACATCTGTGTAAAAATTGAAATTTAAGTGTTAGATATATAAATACATAAGAATTGAGCCGGCAATCTTCCTTTTTCTTAGATATTGGAAAAAAGAAAGATAAGTTTAGATCAGGCCTCCCCTTATCTCATGGGAATACAATTATAAGAATTTATCATTCCTTTTCAGTCAAAATAAATTTTGTGTTGACTTATATATATGAGCTCATCATTTTGGCTTGTCAATTACAACTCAACAAAGGTACTGAAATAAGTTTGAGCTATTGTTAGTCTTTAAGCAAAATTTATAACTATATTAATTATTTACACATAAAAATTTTTGAATTAGTATCTCCTACTGATTATAAAATTATGTGGATAAATTACATTTGTGGTTCTAAATGACTGCAAATTATGAGAGATTTTGGGTTTTAATTTTAAATTTTAAATTTGATAAAAAAAATTTAAATATATTGCATTATTCTTAAATCAATGCAATATATTATGTTATTAGTAAATATAACATGGGGATGTAGCTCAGATGGTAGAGCGCTCGCTTAGCATGCGAGAGGTACGGGGATCGATACCCCGCATCTCCATTCTATTTTTTGTATTATTCATATTAAATAATACTTCTATACAACAACCCTTCTACCCGTCGGATGTGCTTTGAGATATGCATTCCAAAGTACTTATAGATTAGGAGCTGTGATTTTATAACAAGCCAAGTTCAAACAAATCTAAAACCTATGAAAATTTTTTTATTTTAATTTTTTTTTTCAAAAGAATACTTATATTTTAACCCTAAAATTTGAAGCCATGATGGCACAAATAAAAAGTATTTGACTTGAATATTATTGTCAGAACTTTACATATAATCAATCTACACTACTATTTTAAAATATAATTTATGTTTCTGTAGATATATTATGGTTTTGTAAACTATGTTGGGTGTTTGAATTCAGCAACGGAAAAATCTCCATTGTAAAGTTATGGTTGATAAAACTGTGTTGGGTGTCTGAGTAGAAAGTTTAGTGGAACGGAAGGCAGAAGGGGAGACGGCGAAGCTAAAAACAAATTTGATGGTTTGTTGTCTCGACCTTTGCCTTACCAAAGGAGTCCGACGCCTTCTTTACCGAGCTCCCTCTGGATCTCAGAGAGAGGGCAGTTAATCTCCTCTTTAGGAACCTCTAAGTTCTCCACTGCATTTGCAGCTGTTGTCATCATCGTTGATGGCCTCATCGGTAAAGCTTTTGTGGCGAAGCAACGAAGCTGAAGAGGGCTTTGAGCCATTCTCCAACGATGAACTAGACAATAGGTTGACAAGGCCCCTGGCTTTGGTGGCACCTGCCATCCAAAGCCATCAACAGGGAATACTGCACAATATTGTGATCCAAAATGGTGGAACAGAGGGTCGAAGGAGCAATCTCAAACGACAAAAAATGACGTTGTGGCAGACAAAATTTTTGAAGAATTTGATTCAAAACAGAAAGTCGGCTAAGTGGAGCCTATATCTTTATCTAATATTATTAGTGTTGCATCATTAAGAAATTTTATCATTTTACAAGGAATTTCGAGGCATCTTTCGAGCAATGAATGTTTTAAATTTAAAATTTTGACCAACTAGAGCCCCAATTTCAACGACTTTGTAATCAATCTTATCTTCTCAACAAGACGGGCCGAAAGATATCAAAATTGGTTTGATATGATTACATTCAAGTTCATAACAAATCATTAAAACACATTCAGAGGCTTTGGATCGTTAATTTAATAGTCAAATGAACTCCAAATTTGATATAATTAAACCAAAGTTAAGTTATGAGATGTCATAGAGCTAAAAATAATAACATATCATCCGTTGATTATGCATCTCATCAGGATTAATCTGACAAGATTTGATGAAAAAGGAGACTTTAGCATATGCTAATGCGAGGTAATAAATGTGTCGTGCTCTTTAAATTTTTAGGAAGTTTAATATACCAGGAAGTGATCGATTGAAGATGAATCAGAGTGTTTGTCGTTTGATCCAAAATTACAAATCAGCAAATCAATTATGAGGTGATGATGTAGACATTTGCATGAATATTATAAAGGACATTGGAGAACAAATATCTCACGAAGAGCTTGGAAAATTGTCTTTATATTAACAATCAATTCTACAAGTGTCAGATGAGATACAAGGATACTATTGATGAACGCTTAAATAATTTTATAATTTTTTTATAAATCTGTTAAATTTGGATGAATAGATTAGAGATGAATACAATGCACTTCTTCTATCAAATTTACTCTCATATGAGTACACAAACTTCACAATGACATTCATTCATGGAAAGTATGTTTTACATTATGAGGATATGTCATTGTTGAACCATGAGTTCCATTGATGATACAAGGAGTCTGCGAAGATGGAGTTGGTTGAGGCACTTGCACTTCAACACGGCTGATATGGGAAGAATATTAATTTAGTCAAGAAAGGTGGTAGCATTGATACATCTCAGAAGCGAGATAAGTCTCATGAACATAGTCTTATGAAAATCCAGTGTATTTTTTGTTTAGATACTAACCATTGGAAAAAAGATCATCAGAAGTAAGAGAGTTTTCTCTAAGGCAAAAACTAATCTTATTGTGAAGAGGAGTGACGAGGCAAATTCAAATATATCATCATATATAACTTCTCATAGTTTGTATACATACCATTCGTGTTGGATTCTAAACATAGGTGTTGCCTGTCACCCTTATTCATATCAAGAATGTTTTTTTTACGTACAAAAAAATTAATAATGGTGTAGTGATTATGGACAAAGATCAAGTTTGTCGTACTATTAATGTAATGAGCATCTTTATCATTATGGATAATGGTACTGTGAGTGAGCTTACTGATGTTAGACATATTTCAAATATCATGAAGAGTTTGTTGTTATTTGGGGTTTTAGAAGCCAATGGATACAATGTAGTTATTGCGGTAAGAGTTTTGAAGATATGTAGTGGAGCATTAAATTTTATGAAAAGTGTATCCATTATAATATTTATTATCTTCATGATAGTACATTGACTGAAATGATGGTTGTTATTGATGATTCTTTTGAAACTATTACATTGTAGCATGCAGGTAACTCGTGATAGAGACGCTTCACAGCAGACTTTGGTGAAGCAATGATTGATCAAAAGAACGAGCAGTCGCAAGCTCAATTTTTGTGAATATTGTGTGTTTAATGAGAAATTGTAGGTATCATTTTATACTATCATCTGCAATACAATTGTTTATTTAGAGTATATTTGCACGAAATGTTTGGGCCCAATGAAGATAACATCATTCAACGTGTGGAGATATTTTGTCTCTTTTACTGATAATTACTCCTGATATGTTTGAGTCTAAACCATGAAGCGTAAGAGTGGCATGCTAAGGATTTTTATAAATTAGAAAAAGTTGATTGAAATTTGGACAAGTAAGAAAATCAAGTGCAACAAATCATATAACAGGGGTGAATAAACATTTGATGTGTTCTTCCAAGGGTTTTAGAGGCCTAGAATAGAACACAATTTCACTGTACAAGAGATATTGCATCATAATAAGGTGACAAAGAGGATGAACAAGACTTTGGTGGAGAAATTAAATGAATGTTGTCTAATGCTGGGTTGCAGAATAGAACAAGATGAATATATATTATTTTTTAAATATTTAATATTGCATAAGTGGGAAAAAAATGTAGAAGTTTGATAGTATTAGGGTTGCAAACGAGCCGAGCCTGAGCAAGCTAAGGTCGACTCAAGTTCAGCTCGTTCGAAATTGGCTCGTGTTTGGTTCGAAATTGACTCGTTAGAATATAAAATTATTATAATAATTAACTTTTAAATAAAATGAAAATAATAATTTTTCTAAACAAATTGTTTCTATAAAAATTAATCAATCATAATTTATAATATTTAATTTTATGAATATTTATTATATATATATATATATATATATATATATATAAAAAATATTTATAAAAAAAAATATA